CTGCTGTTTACCAGCTATTTTTATTCTGCTGGCATTTACCTTCCTTGTGGGCCCTCCTTACTGTATCTTGCCCACCTAAGATTACAGTTGGGTCATCCTTTGGCTGGCTTGCAGAATTGCACTTAATGTGACTGCATGTTTTTCTCAGTGATTTCCCAGCCTAGGAATAGTCTTTTATGCAGGTGGATCTAAACACTTGGTTTGAACAAGCTTATTTCACTCTACAGAACTTTCTAAGCTCATTGGCTACATAAGCATATCTCCCCTTCCTGGTATTAGGAACCTGGCATTTATCTGTCTGGCTTTATCAACCTCCTGGCCACTCTCATGAAGTCTTAAATTTTCTGGTCTAAGTCTTTCCCTTACCCAGCTGGCTATTAGTTCACGCTCAGCATTATCCACCTGTTCCTGCCTACCTGGCTTCAATTTGCTTGCCTGGATTTCTGATCAAGACCCACGTGGTCTTTTCTGTGAGGCATTACTCTGCTGCCATTCATACCCAGTCTTACCCATTTTAGGGCCTTGGACATACCCCTTTCTTCTTCCCCACCTTGCCTAATCTATATGGGCTTCAATCTCATGGCCCTAAAAACCTGGATTAGCCACCTAGCCTTCCTAGTCTTACCAACCATACATGACCACATGGCCTTCACACTGGGTTAATCCGATTGTCCTTGGTCTTCTGGTTTCATCTACTGGGCCTTAAACCACTGGATGTACCTCCCTAGGTTTACTTCTCTGGATGTATTTCCCTGCTTTTATTCCCCAGATTAACCATTGCTCCCCCACCCTGGGGCTTAGAGACCCTGCAAAAGCCACCTGGACATACTCACCTGGCCTTAACATTGTGTCCAAACCCACCTAGGTGACCAATATAGCTTACTAACCTGGCATTGCCACCTGACCTTATTTTTTCATACTACATCACATGGCCTTATCTGCCTGACCTAACCTGCCTAGCTTTAAAATCAGCATTACACAGTTTCTGTTAGTTCTGTTGAGGAGTGTTACCTTACTGGTGTCACACACCTGGCCTTTTCAATTGTTGGGCTTCCTGATCTGGTCTTTTTTTTTTTTTTTTTTTTGAGACGGAGTTTCGCTCTTGTTACCCAGGCTGGAGTGCAATGGCGCGATCTCGGCTCACCGCAACCTCCGCCTCCTGGGTTCAGGCAATTCTCCTGCCTCAGCCTCCTGAGAAGCTGGGATTACAGGCACATGCCACCATGCCCAGCTAATTTTTTGTATTTTTAGTAGAGACGGGGTTTCACCATGTTGACCAGGATGGTCTCGATCTGTTGACCTCGTGATCCACCCGCCTCGGCCTCCCAAAGTGCTGGGATTACAGGCTTGAGCCACCGCGCCCGGCCTTGATCTGGTCTTAATCTCAGTGTCTAGTCAAATCAGATTCCCCCAGTTGCCTTAATTGCCTTAGGAACCTTCTGGCCTTACTCATTTAGTATCAATGCTCTGAACTTACACACCTGGCTTACCTACCTGCCTTATCCTCATGTCCTTACCAGGCTTTTCACTCTTTTTTTCTCTTTCCTTGCCTTCTCTTATTTCATTGAGTTGATCTTCAATCTCTGATATCCTTTCTTCTGCTTGATTTGGCTACTGAAACATGTATGCTTTGGGAAGTTCTCGTGCTGTGTTTTTCAGCTCTCTCAAGTCATTTATGTTCTTCTCTAGGCTGGTTATTGTAGTTAGCCTTTCATCTGACATTTTTTTCAAGGTCCTTAGTTTGTTTGCATTGGGTTAGAACATGTTCTTTTAGCTCAGAGAAGTTTGTTATTACCCACCTTCTGAAGTCTGCTTCTGTCACTTTCAGACTCATTCTCCATTCAGCTTTGATTCCTTCTGGTGAGGAGTTGTGATACCTTGGAGGAGGAGAGGTGTTCTGGTTTTTGGTGTTTTCATCCTTTTTGCACTGGTTTCTTTCCATCTTCATAGATTTATCTACCTATGATCTTTGCAGTTGGTAACTTTTGCATGGGGTCTCTGAGTGGGCGTGTTTCTTGTTGATGTTGAAAGTATTTGTTTTTTATTTTTCCTTCTAACAGTCAGGGCCCTCTGCTGCAGGACTGCTGCAGGTCCACTCCAGACCCTGCTCGCCTGGGAATCACCTGAGGGGGCTGCAGAACAGTAAGGGTTGCTGCTGGTTTCTTCTTCTGTTATCTTCATCCCAGAAGGGTACCTGCCAGATGTCAGCCAGAGCTCTCCTTTTTAAGGTACCTCTGGATATTCGGGGGTTGTGGAGCTGCTTGAGTAGACAGTCTGTCCCTTATCAGAGCTCAAGTGCTGTGTTAGGTGTTCTGTTATTCCTTTCAGCGCTGCTGGGTAAGTACATTTATGTCTGCTGCAGTGGAACTCATAACTGCCTCTTTTCTCTGGTGCTCTGCCCTGGGAAGGTTGGGCTTTATTTATAAGTTCCTGATGTGCTGCTGTCTTTTTTTAAGAGATGCCCTGACCAGCAAGGAAGCAGTCTAGTCACAGTCTGCCAGCAGAGGCATTGCTGAAATGCTGAGGGCTCTGCCCAGCTACTGTGTAAACTTCCTTGAGGTTTTGTTTACAGAGGTACAGTTAGAACTGCCTCAGTAACGGTGGTCTTCCTCAATAATCTGCCAGTTTCTTTATTCAGTCTATCATTGATGGACATTTGGGTTGGTTCCAAGTCTGCTACTGTGTACAGTTCCACAATAAATTTATGTGTAAATGCGTCTTTATAATAGAAGTTTTTTTTTTTTTTTTTTTTTTTTTGAGACGGAGTTTTGCTCTTGTTACCCAGGCTGGAGTGCAATGGCGCAATCTTGGCTCACTGCAACGTCCGCCTCCTGGGTTCAGGCAATTCTCCTGCCTCCGCCTCCCGAGTAGCTGGGATTACAGGCACACGCCACCATGCCCAGCTAATTTTTTTAAAAAATATTTTTAGAGACGGGGTTTCACCATGTTGACCAGGATGGTCTCGATCTCTTGACCTCGTGATCCGCCCGCCTCGGCCTCCCAAAGTGCTGGGATTACAGGCTTGAGCCACCGCGCCCGGCCTATAATAGAAGTATTTATGATCCTTTGGGTATACACCCAGTAATGGGATGGCTGGGTCAAATGGTATTTCTACTTGTAGATCCTTGAGGCATCAATACACTGTCTTCCACAATGGTTGAACTAATTTACACTCACACCAACTGTGTGTAAAAGTGTTCCTATTTTTCCACATCTTCTCCAGCATCTGTTGCCTACTGATTTTTTAATGACTGCCAATCTAAGTGGCATGAGATTGTATATGAATGTGGATTTGATTTGTATTTCTCTAATGACTAGTGATGATGAGTTTTTTTTCATACGTTTGTTTGCTGAAGAAATATCTTCTTTTTAGAATTGTGTGTTCCTATCTGTCACCTAGTTTTTGATAGGGTTTTGTTTTGTTTTGTTTCGTTTTTGTAAATTTGTTTAACTTCTTTGTAGATTCTGGCTATTAGCCATTTGTCAGATGGAAAGATTCCAAAAAATTTTTCTACTCTGTTGGTTGCTGGTTCACTCTAATGATAGCTTTTTTCACTGTGCATGTGCTGTTTAATTTAATTAGATCCCGTTTGTTTATTTTGGGGTTTGTTGCCATTTGTTTTTTTGTGGTTTGGTCATGAATTCCTTGCCCATGCCTATGTCATAAATGGTTTCTTTCAGGGTTTTTATGGTCTTAGGTCTTAGGTTTGAATCTTTAATAAATCTGGAGTTAATTTTTATATTAGGTGTAAGGAAGGGAGGCAATTTCAGCTTTCTGCATATGGCTAGCTAGTTTTCACAACACCATTTTAGGAAAAGAGGAAATCTTTTCACCATTGCTGGCTTTTATTAGGTATGTCAAAGCTCAGATGGTTGTAGATTTTTATGTTTTCTATGTGAATTAAAAGGAAGGTGATCAGATAAGAGTCAGGAAGTAGTGTAAAGTTTTGAAATTTCCATAAGAGGTGAAAAACTTAGTTTGTAGGAATAAAATATGAATTGACTAAAGAAATATATACAATCAGTAGGCAGCACTAACAGAACAGCTGGGTTTTGTTTTTTATAACTTTAAAATGGCCAGTATAATTTCCTGTGTTTTTCTTCATGTACACAAAGTTACCTTGGCACAGGAGTAGAATAAGTGGCTTCTAAGAATTGGGATTTTTCCATGTGAGATGGAATGAAGGCAGGAGAAGTGAGCTAAAACCACAATTTTTTATGTAGAAAGTATGGTTAAAATGAATACAAGTTAGGCAAGGGAGGAGGTTAGGAGAAAAAGCTCTGGGAGCACTTTGGGCCAAACAACAAATCAGATGTCAGAAATCAAAGATCAATCACTCCAGCAGAAGTTTAAAGGAACTCCTTTCATATGGCAGAAAACTTGAATAGGGCAGGAATAACTCCCAGGTTAAATGTCCCCTTCTGCCGTATCTAGGCGGATTCCATTTCTGGATCCCCTCGCCTGACAGTGTGAGAGCTCACTGTCTCTCTCTCCCTATTTTTTTCTCCTTTCTCTCTCTTTCTCTCTGCCTAAATAAATTACTTTCTGTAAAACTCTTTGGGGTCTGATATTTAGTTAAAGGAGTTCACTGCACCTGATGGTGTCCTCTCCCCCATTCTTGGGTGAGTGAGTGATCAAGGGTGTGGAAGAACACATCCTTTTGGGGAACGACCTGAGCCTGTCGTCTGCAATTTGGTCACAATATGGCTGAACAGATAGGCAAAGAGTTGGTCATAAGACTGTGCCATTGCATACTAAGGGGTTAGGATATGAGTGTAAGCTCCAGAGCAGTAAGAGTTGGCACAAATCACAGAAGTCTGGAGTCATTCAGGTATCTCTTGGAGAGCGATCATTTCCCTAATCGAAAGTACCATGAGAAAAAGTTGAAAGGCAAGAAATGTCACCTTCTCTGGTTTTCTATTACCCAATCCCCCTCCTTTTTTTCAGTTCTTCCTCATTATCCTCTTACCCTCCCCTATACCAAATGTAACTTATTCCAAAACTTTCATGCAGCTTTATTAATGTGTCTTCCATACCTAATAAATTTTCAGCATACTGTATGTGCAATAAATGTTTGTTAAATAAATAAAATATATAACATATAATTTTATACGAAGGAATCTTAAAATGTTAGAGAAATAAATTTTCTTTAAAAATATAAATTTTAGACATGAAGTATATGCAAATATACATAATAATGTAATCACATCAATCAATAAAGAAAATCTTCACAAGAAGTAGAGGGAAGGTGGGAAAGAAGAGGGATGCTGGGAATGAAAGAAGATGGAAGGTGAGGAAAGTGGAAAAAGAAGAAGAGGGAAGATGGGGATAGAAAAAGAGGGACAGTGGGGAAAGAGGAAAGAAGAAGAGGGATGGTGGGAGAAGAAGAAGAGGGAAGTTTGGGGAAGAAGAAGAGGGAAGGTGAGGCAAGAAGAAGAGAAGGTGGGAAATGGAAAAGAAGAAGAGAGAAGGTGGGGAAAAGAACAGGGGAGGTGGAAAAAAGTGGCAAGAAGATGGAGAAAGAAAAAGGGAACTTGGGGAAAGAAGAAAAGTGTAGGTGGGAGAAGAAGAAGAGGGAAGGTGGGAGAAGTTGAAGAAAGAAGGTGGGGGAAAAAGAAGGAAGGTGGAGAAAGTGAAAAGGTGAGGAAATAATGGGGGAACACCAGGTACAGTGGCTCACACCTGTAATTCCAGCATTTTGTGAGGCCAAGGCAGGTGGATTGCCTGCGGTCAGGAGTTTGAGACCAGCCTGGCCAGCGTGGTGAAAACCCATCTGTACTAAAAATACAATTTTTGTAGTTTGAAAAAATACAAAAATTAGTCCGGCATGGTGGCAGGCATTACTAAAATACAATTTTTGTAGTTTGAAAAAATACAAAAATTAGTCCGGCATGGTGGCAGGCACCTGTAATCTCAGCTGCTCTGGAAACATAGCCAGGAGAATTGCTTGAACCTGAGAAGCGGAGGTTGCAGGTTTCAGTGAGCAAAGATTGTAGCATTGCACTAAAAAAAGAAGGTGGGGAAAGAAGAAGAGGGAAGGTGCTAGAAGAAGAAAAAGAAATGCAACACCCATTCATGATTAAAAAAAAATACTCAAAACTAAGAATAGAAGGGTGTTTACCCAACTCGATGGAAAAAATCTGCAGATTCTTAATGGTGAGAAACTAGATGCTTTCCCTCTAAGATCAGGAACAAGGAAAGGATGTCCTCTCTCACTACTCCTATGTGACATTATAGTAAACCTCCTACCTAATGTAAGACAAGAAAGGAAAATAAAAGATATTCATAGTAGAAAGAAAGAAATCTGTCTTTGTAGATGATACGATTTTTATGTAAAAAATACCTAAGAATAAACAAAAACCTCCTGTAATCAATAAGCAATTTTAGCAAGTCTACAGGGTAAAAGGTCAATTTCTTTCTTAACACCAGCAAAGAACAATTGGAATTTGAAATTAAAAACACAATACCATTTGTATTAGCCTCAAAAAATAATAAAAAATAAATATTTAGGCATAAATCTAACAAAATATGTACAGGCTCTATGAAGTAAACTAGCAAACCTCTGATAAAAAAATTAAAACCTCAATAAATTGAGAAATATTCCATATTCCCAGAAAATGTCAGTATTGTTCCAATGTCAAGTCTTCCCAACTTTATTTGTAGATTCAATGAGATCTCAACCAAAATTGGAGGACGTCATTTTTTGGATGTCAATAACTTACTTCTGAATTTTATATGAAAAAGTAAAAGACCTGGAATAATCCATAGAACATTCAATAATGAAGTTGGAGGATTGATATTACCAGACTTCAAGACTTACAACAAAGCTACAGTAAACAAGACAGATGGCACTGGCAAAAGAATAGACAAATAGACCAATGGAATAGAATGGAGATCCCCAAAATAGATCTATGTAAAATACAGACAACTGATATTTGACAAAGGAGGAAAGGCAATTTAATGGAGAAAATAGTCTTCAATATGTGGTGCTAGAACAATTGGAAAATACACATACAAAAAATGACACACGCCTTATATATTCTTAAATTATAAATGTAAAATGTAAAACTATAGAACATCTGTTGGATAACCTGAGACTGTAGGTGACTTTGAGTTTGGTGATGATACAACACCAAAAGCATAATCCTTGGGGAGTGGGTAAACTTAGCAAGTTGGAATTGATTACAATGAGAAGCTTCTGCTCTGCAAAAGGCACTGTTAAGATTAAAAAAACAAGGCACAGACTAGGAGAAAATATTTGCAGAATACCTATTTGATAAAGGACCGTTACCTAAAATACGCAAGGAAGTCTTCTAAAGGAAATTTAAATTTAAAAAATTCAGAATTGGGTGAAAGATCTGAACAGATACCTCACCAAAGAAGATACACAGATGGTTAATAAATATATGAAAAGATGTTCAACATCATATCCTATTAGGGAATTACAAATTAAAGGAACAATCAGATACTACCACACACATATTAGAATGGCAAAAATCTGAAGCTCAGACACCATCAACTGCTGACAAGGATGTAGGAACTCACATTTATTACTGGTGGGAATGCAACATGGTAAAACCACTTTAGAAGACAGTTAAGCAGTTTCTCACATAGCTAAACATAGATTGACCATACCATCCAGCAATCGTGCTGCTAGATATTAACCCAAATCAGTGAAAATATATGCCCACAAAAAAACTGCACATGAATGTTTATAGCAACTTTAGTCATAATTCCCACAACTTCAAAGCAACCAAGATGCCCTCTAGTAGATAAATGGGTATACTGTGGTACATTCATACAATTGAGTATTGTTCAGTGATTAAATGAATTGAGCAATCAAGCCCTGATAAGACATGGAGGAATGTTAAATGCAGATTGCTAAGTGAAAGAAACCAGTCTGAAAAGGCTATATACTATGTTCCAGCAATATGATATTTTGAAAGAGGTAAAACTATAGAAACAGTAAAAGAAAATCAATGGATGTCATGGGTGAGGTTGGGAAGGGGCAAAGAAGGATTAATACATAGAACAGAGGGAGTAATTTTAGGCAGAGAAACTGTATGATACTGTAATGGCTGATACGTGGCAGTAGGCATTTGTGAAACTCCATGGAACTGTACAACAGAGTACACTTTAATGTAAACTGTGGACTTTAGTTAATGATAATGTTTCAATATTAGTTCATCAAATGTAATAAACATGGTAATAATAGGGGAACTGTTGAGAAGTGGGAAGTTGGAGGAGGATGATATGAGCATATAAAACTCTGTGTATCTGCTCAATGTATCTGTACAGCTAAAACTGTGCCAAAAAATAAAGGAGTGTATGTGTATTCACATATTTCCAAATTTGACTCAAGAAAAAGTAACGGAATTTGTCAACTTCTAGAAAAAATATTTAAAAGCTGTTAATCACAGAAGAGCACACAATCAAGATAGTTTTTTAGGCAATTGCTTTTAGGGTTTTGGTATAGACTGAAAATTTGTGTGCACCTCAAAATTCATATGTTGATGTCCTGTCAATTTTATATGAAGTGGTAGGCCCTTTGGGAGATAATTAGGTCATGAAGGTAAATACCTCATGAATGAGATTAGTGCCCATATAGAGACCTTAGAGTGCTCCCTTGTCTTTTTTTTTTTTATTTGGCAACAAGGTCTCATTCTGTCACTTGGGCTGGAGTGCAGTGGCATAATTTTGGCTCACTGTAACCTCAACCTCAAGGACTTAGGTGATTTTTTCGCTTTAGCCTCCTGACTAACTGGGACTACAGATGTGGGCCACCATGCGCAGGTAATTTTTTTGAGTTTTTTTCCGTAGAGATTAGATTTTGCCTGTTGCCCAGCCTGGTCTTGAACTCTTGGGTTCAAGCAATACACTTGCCTTGGCCTCCCAAAGTGCTAGTAATAGAGGCATGAGCCACTGTGCTTAGATCCCTCATCTCTTTTGCTATGTGATGATGAATGAGAAGATGAGGTCTATGAGTCATGAAGTGACCCCTCACGCAACACCAAATCTACCTTCATCTTAGACGTCTCAAACTCCAGAATTATGGAAATAAATTTTTGTTGTTTATATGACACCCAGTCTATGGTATTGTGTTATAGCATCCCAGACTAAGACAAGCTTTCAAGGAACAGACATTTCCTATGCTATACAATCTCTACAGAGCATAGGAACTGATGGAATGTTTCCCAGCTAAGTCAGGTCTTCAAAAAACAAAAGGTCTCTGTAGTTTAACTGTGATTACCTTTGTCATTATGCTTTTGTTTCTCCATATTTACTCTTGCCAAAGATACTGTTTACAGAAGTAACTATTTTCAGGGAAGCTTCATGGGATCTATAACGAGAAGGAGGCAAAACTAAGGTGTGCAATCAAGTGGTAGATCCATGGCAGGGCCACTGAAACTAATAGTCTAGCTAGAGCCGCAGCCTTTTCGAAGCCCGACATGAGCCAGGGCTTGGAACATGTTCTGTAGGCCCTCCAGGACTTCAATGAACAACAGAAAGTTGCTGAATATCAACTGCAGCTGTTCAGTACCGAGACGCCCAGCAGATTGCATCAACAGGTGCCACTGCTTCCTAATGATGTGCGTATCTCTCACATAGCTGGTCTCTAGAAGTTGTTTTAAATACAGTCATTAAATTAAAAATCCTCATTAAGCAGGCAGGATTCTCAAGGGGTGAAGATAAGCCTCAATTAAGAAATTTGGATTTTGTATGAAAATATCTCTGTATACTTGCCCTGCCGTGGGTCTTTATCTGTTGTATTTCCCTCATGAGCAAAATTCCCAGAAGGATCCAGAGTGTACCAAACACCACATAGTCCAAGCCTAAAAAAGACCATTCTTCTGAATTCCTTGACCTTCATAGGCAGGGAAACCAAAGAACTGGCAAGACTACTAGATTTTAAGCCCCATCCACATGCTTGTACTGCAGTGTATCCATAACAGTAGGGGCTTGTGCTGGACAGGATCTGTAGGAGGGGACATTGGTATCAGCAATACAGAGAAAACGCACTTTCAGGAAGGGGACAGGGAGGTGATGACTGGAAGAGCAAGTTCCTGGATCTCCTCTGACCTGGGCTTCTTAATGTGCTGGGGTAGTTTTCCCCAACTTTTTGGCACCAGGGCACTGGTTTCATGGAAGACAAGGGGCGAGTGGTTTCGGGATGAAATTCTTCCACCTCAGATTATTAAGCAGTAGTTAGCGTCTCATAGGGAGCATGCAACCTAGAGTCTTCGTGTGTACAGTTCATAGGAGGGTTCTTGCTCCTTTGAGAATCTAACGTGACAGCTGTTCTGACAGGCAGAGCTCAGTCAGAAATCTCCATCTCCCCCTGCTCACCTGGCGTGTTCATCTGCAGTTGAGGGCCCCTGTCCTGGGGCATGGATGCAGCAGTCTTCAGCTGCATTTTTCCTTCCTGGCAGACTTTCATAGGTGCCAAGCTATGTCAGTAGGGCTCAATCTCATGTCTCTCTGAAGTGCCAGAACACTAGGGACAAAAAAAAAAAAAAAACAAAACCCATCAGAGTTTGATTAGTGGTCACAACCAGGGTCCAGGATACCTAAAACACAGCAGGGACATCTGTCCCTTCAGAGACTTGTTCAAAATTGAAAAAGCTCAAGTTTATTGTAAGGCACTTGCCAGTGGCATCTGTTTCTAGGAATCATTGGAACCACTGCCCTTGGGAAGAGGGGTAGCCAGAAGAGTTTTGGAGAGGAAATTTGAACCATAAAATAGCATAATTACAAAGCAATTTTTGGGAAAAAGAGGAGATAATGGATTAGCTAGAGGGTCCTGGAGCTCGGAACTAAAGGCAGGGTGGGAGGGATGGACTTACGGTGAGATAATAAACTGCAGTCTCTTGGGAATAGAACCCAAATGGCCTTACACATGCTGAGACCACCTAGGTGCCCCCTTATGTTCTCTGCAACTCCTTAACCTTCCCTGTGTCCCTGAACTCATCTCTATTTTAATTTACATTTCCTGCAGTAGAATTCATTAGTTTTACACTTGCAAAATAGTCAAAACAGTTCTCTGTGGGGTCATCATGACTGCCTTTGAACAGAGTTCACCTGCCTCACCAGGGACAATGTAGCTGTATTCAGTGAGGGCTACAGAGATTTACTTACCAAGCTGCACCTCACTCATGCTGGCTATCTCCAGCAGAGCAGTACATTTTTGTTCCTACACCCAGGTTGGCACTTTAAAGTTGGATTATGGACCACCCCAACCCCATAACACTTCCCCTGATTGAACTCAAATGCCCAAATTCATATCAGATGACATATTAGATGTCACAATTTGGCAACCCTGCCAGAAACTAAGAGACTTATAGATACTTATGGAATGTTAACTTCACGCTGCTAAGCATCAATCCCTTGCATGTTGATTATGCTCTTTATCCCCAGTAAAGTGGTGGAGCCAGGATTTGTATTCAGACGTTCTTACATGTAAATATTACACCACACTGCCTAGTGTCCTGCTCACTGCCCACGGGGTGGCTTTACCTCTTCAGACATTTGAATCTGCTGTGAGCTTTTCTTCCTTACCTCTTTTTGATTTGCAATGGGAATGCTCCAAAGAGGAATTACTATTGTCCAGGGCAGCAAGCTCGGCGTTTTGCGAGTTAGTGGGTTCTGACAGCTACTTAGTGGCAGCATTAGGACTATAGCTACTGGAAACAAGGTTACAACTAATTCTTCAGTGAATTATCTCTGAAAATGGGGAAAGGATTTCATGGGTCAGCCACTGTTAGAGTACCTTTACAGAGTATGGGACACGTAAGTAGTTCTCTGTTGGACATAATAAAGAAGAAAATGTTTTTGTTTTTAAGATGTTTGCAATCCAATTATAGATACTATATATATGCATATATATGTATACACACACACGCACACACACAGACACACACACTGCCTTAAAAAAACTTCTAAGCCATATACAGATAAGTACATAAGAAAAACACACAGTATAGAAGCTCGAGGCATTACAGACCAAAGTATTAGAGTATTAATGTGCTTAAAAGAATTGCCTGTTAGAAATTACTTTGGAGTAACGTTTTGGAAGAGGGTGAACATATATGGGGGTGGGGTGGGGTGTGGATGGGGCAGAACGGATGTGGCAGGAAGCACATCAAATGTAGAGGAATGGCATATGCAAAGGAACTAGGCTATTTGTCCCTCTTTTCATAACTTTAAGGTCCATTTTGATGGTTTGAGCTTGTCTTAAGGCAGCATGTTTCCAGAACAGACACTTTCTCAGCTACCTCTAATTGAAGCTAGTTAGAAATGACTCAGTTTCAGTGTTATGATTCTAAGCTAGCTAAGACCTATTTGGGAGGTTTACTGAATTCTGGCACAGCCTCAACTGAGAAGTCCCTTGAGAGACTTGCTTAAAATTTAGCAAGCTCAAGTTTATTTTAAGGTGCTTATCAGGGATAAAGAAAAATTTATATCAGTGTACAAAAATCACAAGCATTCATATATACCAATAACAGAGTCAAAACATGAGTGAACTGCCATTCACAATTGCTACACAGAGAATAAATAAAATACCTAGCAATACAAGTAGCAAAGGACATGAAGGACCTCTTCAAGGAGAACTATAAAGCACTGCTCAAGGAAATAAGAGAGGACACAAACAGATGGAAAAACATTCCATGCTCAAGGTTAGGAAGAATCAATATTGTGAAAATGGCCATACTACCCAAAGTAATTCATAGATTCAATGCTATCCCCATCATGCTACCATTGACCTTCTTCACAGAAATGGAAAAAATCACCTTAAACTTAATATGGAACCAAAAAACAGCCCACATAGCCAAGACAATCCTAATAACTGGTACCAAAACAGAGATATAGACCAATGGAACAGAACAGAGTCCTTGGAAGTAACGCCACACATCTACAACCATCTGATCTTTGACAAATCTGACAAAAACATGCAATGGGGAACGGATTCCCTGTTTAATAAATGGTGTTTGGAAAACTGGCTAGCCATGTGCAAAAAGCTGAAACTGGACCCCTTCCCTATACCTTATACAAAAATTAACTCCAGATGGATTAAAGATTTAAACATAAGACCTAACACCATGAAAACCCTAGAAGAAAACCTAGGCCATACCATTCAGGACATAGGCATAGGCAAGGACTTCATGACTAAAACACCAAAAGCAATGGTAATAGAAGCCAAAGTAGACACATGGGATCTAATTAAACTTAAGAGCTTCTACAGAGCAAAAGAAACAATCATTAGAGTGAACTGGCAACCAGCAGAATCGGAAAAAAATTTTGCAAGCTACCCATCTGACAATGGGCTAGTATCCAGAATCTACAAAGAATTAAAACAGATTTACAAGAAAAAAAAAAACCCTATCAAAAAGTGGGAAAAGGATGTGAAGAGACATGTTTCAAAAGAAGACATTTATGAGGCCAACATATTAAAAAATGCTCATCACTGGTCATTAGAGAAATGCAAATCAAAACCACATTGAGATACCATCTCACATCAGTTAGAATGGCAATCATTAAAAGATATGGAGACAACAGATGCTGGAGAGGATATGGAGAAATAGGAACACTTTTACACTGTTAGTGAGAGTGTAAATTAGTTCAACCATTGTGGAAGACAGTGTGGCGATTCCTCAAGGATATAGAAATAGAAATAGCATTTGACCCAGTAATCCCATAACTGTATATACCCAAAGGATTATAAATCATTCGGTTATAAAGACACATGCATATATATGTTCATTGTGGCACTGTTTACAGTAGCAAAGACCTGAAACCAACCCAAATGCCCATCAATGATAGACTGCATAAAGAAAATGTGGCACATATACATAATGGAATACTATGCAGCTATAAGAAAGGATGAGTTCATGTCTTTTGCAGGGATATGGATCAATCTGGAAACCATCATTATCAGCAAACTGACTCCAGAACAGAAAACCAAACAGTGCATGTTCTCACTCATAAGGAGTGTTGAATAATGAGAACACATGGACACATGGAGGGGAACATCACACACTGGGGTCTGTTAAGGAGTGGGGACTAGGGGAGGGATAGCGGGGGTGGGGAGGTTGGGGAGGGATAACATTAGGAGAAATACCTAATGTAGGTGATGGGGGGATGGAGACAGCAAGCCACCATTTCACGTGTATATCTATGTCACAATCCTGCTAGATTTGCACATGTACCCCAGAACTGAAAGTATATATATATATAAAAAATTCCTGTCACACAATAGGCAAAATCTACAGCCAACAAAAGGGCCTCCAAAAGTAGGTGATGGAACCATTTAGCAAGGCATTCTCCCACAGAACCTGGCACTATTTGCTGTATCAATTCTCTATTTCTTTCTAATCAGTTTCAGAGCCAAACTAATGATTCCGTCTTTTATTTTTTGGAGACAGCCTGTGAAGTCGGAAAAGTCAGGTGCTTTAAGCACATAGTTAGGCAGCATGATGGTGGCACTTCAAAAGTTTTGTGAATCATGGGTATCTCCTCTGGAAAATGTGGAGATACCTGGTCAGTCTCTGGTACCCTCTTCTTGACCAGGTCTACCTGCAGAATGCAGCTGCAGCAGATATGGACTGGATCCATTAGTGCTCACAACAGAGGAACTGCTGCTCTGTGAATTCTGTGGGCTCTGTTGTGTTCAAAGGAAGCCAATGTGGTATTAGGTAGATTTCAGACCATTTGTCTTCATGTCACATTTGATAGCCATTCCTCATGCCAATTGACTCCTAGAAACAGATGCCAGAGGATGCTTTCTAGGGGAATTTGGGTTTTTGTTTTCCTGACTTTCTTCCCTGGAACGTTGGCTCTCCTAGTTAGGCACTAGACTTGCAGAGAACTTGGCCAACTTTAGGTAAACTGAGGCAAGGTCTGATTGTTTTTGTTTCATCCTCTTGAACTTCTCAAAACTTAGAATGTGCAGAAGCCCTTGATGTGTATTTTCCTGCCCAGATCTAGGCCTTTGTTCTCTACAGGTCCCTGTATGTAGTCCATTTCTGAGGTGCAGGTGATTGAAATTCGGGGTCTGTTCTGTCTGTGGAGCTGCAGGCAAGGTGTTTTTTTGCCTCCTGCTTGATTAACTTTGGAATGAAGAGTCAGCATGGTAGGTTGAGCCTTAGAAAGTCTTAAGGTGTAGAATTAATAGATGTTGTGGTTCCAGGTTTCTAAGAGGCATCTGAGATTCCTGCTCCTGCCTTGATATTAGGCCTCAATGCTTGTCTTTAAGCTCTAACTGAGCATCCTCAAGCAGCACTATAGTTTGTCTAAAAGTTGAGAGAGTTGAGCAGGAACACTGGCATATTGGGAGCAGGAGAGCTAAAGGAGCCAGCCATTCTTGCATGAAGAATGTCAAGGATTGCCTCCCAAGCATGGTTTCTGGCTGGGAGTTCCTTTTCTGGTAGATGAAGAAATCCCTGTTAAAATTCCATGTCTACAGGAGCTGGAGATGTGAGAGCTATTTCACTAAAGGGCCTAGAGTTGGCTAGGTTCAAAAGTTCATGGCATCTGCTAACTCAAAGTCTTCCCCGATAGAATCAGCAGACTCTGGGTCCCTTATGGAGCTTAAAGAGCATGGAATGAAACTTTGAAATCCATTCATGATAGGCAATGTGTCAGGGAAGGCCCAGATAGGTGGGCTGGGTTTCTATGCTTGGATTCATATACCATTTCCACTTTTCAAAGGGGATGCAACTATGGAGAAGCAGCAGCAGCATTCATTCCATAAGAACTCAGGCACTATTACCGTATGTATCATTACTTAGCATTTATAATAAAGGAAGAAGTCATATGAGGAGCAATAAATGAAGAAGTCAAATGAAGAATTCCCATCCTGGAGCACCAAGAGCAAGGTGTATAAGGAATCTCAAAACAAAATTCCTGGGAGTATGACCAGAAAGCTGTTACTCAGCATTCATCCAACATGTACTTAACTAAACAGAGGCCTGTGCCAAACACTGGTGTGGCTTATTCTTGATTCAGGGTCTAAGAAAGAATCATACTCTTGAAAGCAAGCTGTGTTAGTGGGACTTCTCCGGCCCATCAAGTTTAGGAATGTTATTATCATGTATCTTAGGAGATAGGTGGCAGGACCCTCTTTGGGAAACTCTCCAGTACTATAGAGTTTCTTTAGGACACAGATCTATTTAACTGGTTAATATACCAGCACAAAGAGGCCACTGGAACTCAAATTACATATTAAACTGACATTTCAGATATGCTTTATAGGCACTTTTGTGGAGTGTTCCACTAAAGGTTTTGGAGCCCAAGATGATTTCTTTTCCTTCTCCAGGTGATGAAGTGTTTTTGTTTTTATCTCTACCTCAGCAACACTGGATTTCTGCTTGTTTCTGGGGCTAGTGTTTCCTATAATTCCTTCATTCCTTCCTTACATGCAATGGAATTTTGCCTGAGCCTTAGAGGTAAGAGCTAACTGCCCTGCTGTAGCAGCTTAAGGCAAAAGGGGAAGTGGGGACTTTGCCTATGTCACCCAGTAGCAGCCTATCACTTCATGCTTACCTGTACCACGAAGATCTCTTCATGTCTCTTGCCTTGCTTCCAATCTTTTGTTTTGTTTTGAGACAGGGTCTCTGTTGACCTAGCTGCAGTACAGTGGTACAGTCTCAGCTCACTGCAACCTCTGCCTTCACAAGAAGAGGCATGATCTTCCTGCCTCAGCCCGCTGAGTAGCTGTAACTAAAGGTGCATGCCACCACGTCCAGCTAATTTTTGTATTTTTAGTAGAGGTGGGGTTTCACCATGTTGGCCAGGCTGGCCTCGAACGCCTGAGCTCAATGATCGCCTGCCTTGGCTTCCCAAAGTGTTGGTATTACAGGAGCAAGGCACTGTGCCTGGCCCTAACTCTCAATCTTTCTTGTGAGCATTTGGTAGAGGCCCAACTTCTTATGTCTGAGGCTCTTAGATATTCTAAATAGACATGCTAGCCCACACCTGGCCTTTAAGAATTTGCTAAAATTTTTTTTTATTTCTTCTTACCTAGCCACTTTTCTCTTCTGCTCTAATATAGATGAAATACTTCATTTCACAGATATAGAATCCTATCCCAGTTTACATGGTTGGCTTGACTCTTCAGCTATCTAATGGGCTGAAGAAAAATTATTGTTCTAGATTATCTGGCGTTTTGTTTGCTAAACTGGGGGCAACACTCCCATAATTTTTCTATATTTCTTCTTCAATTATATATACAAATATAGGAATTTTGAGTAGAATTTTACTGAAGTTAACTTTGGAGATTGTGCAACATTATACAATTTGGTATTTACATTCAGAAATACTGGTATCTTCCAGATTCTTTATGATATGGAGTCATGATTTGGTAACTGATTTTTAACTTAAATTCCATATTGTTTTAAACACAAATTGAAGTGGCTTCTAGTATTGAAACATATTTAAAGGTAAACAGGGAAATTAAAAATTATTAGGTTAGAACCAAATACTCAGAAAGGTACCTAGGGTTATAACAAAAATTAAACATTTTATTTAGCTCTGAGATTCCCAGGAGAAAGGACAAAAAGGAAAACAGTTCATTATATAGTTCTCATAGTTCAATAGAAAGAATGCATTTTTTGGTATGTAGTTCCTTTTAGAAACAGCAAAATAGAAAATGAGTTCAACCATTGTTTTATAGAAGATAGGGAAATGTCCCTCGATTTAGCATTTCTTTTCCTCACATTAATAAAGTCTGCACATTCTTAGGAAATAGGAATTTCAGATAATAAATATGAACAGTTAAAATAATTCTGACAAATTTTTCAAATCAAATATTGAAAATATTTAGTTAGAAAAAAAAACTTTACTTGGACAACAGCAGAAACAAAAGAAAATTCATACTTCATGTAAACAACAGAACACTATGCTAGTTTAGCTCTATAATAAAATCCACAGAAATCTGTGTGTGTGGCCAAGAATGAGGATACAGAGGAAAGAAAAAGAAAATTCAGATAGGTAGAATGTAACTCTTTACAAGTTTCGTCTGGAGAAGAATCTCTGAAAAATAAGAAGTTACGACGGCCCTAGTCTACCAACATGTCAGAGGCAGAACCAATGTAATCTCCTAAAATACGAGATTTATGTTATTCTTAGGATAACTCACTAAGGTGCTTTGGTTCCACTAATGAATAAAGTTTCTAATTCTACACTAAGCTCATCCTTCAGAACATCAGTCTCATCTCCAGATTCTTCCCCAAGCTTCTTCCACCAGGGTGCTTGTATGTGCTTCAGGGTAGTGAGATGGGCCTGCTTGGCCTTTGCTGCCACAGGCCTGGATCTACTTAGGAAGAGCTCAGGTTCTTTCCCTTCTGCCTCCTTCAGACTTGGTGCCTCTGTAGTAGACAGAAAATAAACAGATGAGCCAAAGAGTCCTAGGCCAAGCAAGTAGAAACTTGGAAGCTACAGAGCTGTAACTCTGCTATAGGAGGCAGAAACAGCATTCCAATTCTGAATGTATCACCACTGCTAACTGTGGATGCTTTTTGACTATTCAAAAGTTATAGCTGTGGTTGGTGGCAGTATCACCACCCTGGCTACTTTTGTGTTTTTTGCTTTTTTTTTTTGTGACAGGGTCTCGCTCTGTTGCCTAAGTTGTAGCACAACTAGCATGCCTAGCATGATCACAGTTCACTGTAGCCTCAACCTCCTGGGCTGAAGTGATTCTCCCACCACAGTTTTCTAAGTAGTTGGGACTATGCCACCATACCCAGCTAATGTTTTTTCTTTTTTGTAGAAAGGGGATCTCCCTATGCTGCCCAGGCTGGTTTCAAACTCCTCGACTCAAGCAATTCTTTGCCTCAGCTTCCCAAAGTGTTGGGATTATGTCCGTGAGTCACCATATTCAGCTCATTTCTGGTTTTGTTTGTTTGTTTGCTTGTTTTGGGTCAGAGTTTCACTTTTGTTGCCCAGGCTGGAGTACAATGGCATGATCGTGGCTCACTGCAACCTCTACCTCCAGGGTTCAAGTGATTCTCCTGCCTCTGCCTCCTGAGTAGCTCGGATTACAGGCGTGTGCCACCATGCCCGGATAATTTTGTATTTTTAGTAGAGATGGGGTTTCATCATGTTGGCCAGGCTGGTCTCAAACTCCTAACCTCAGATAATTTGCCTGCCTTGGCCTCTTAAAATGTTGGGATTACATGCATGAGCCACAGCACCTGGCCATTTCTGTGTTATAAAATAAGATGTAGATTTTTGTAAGATGGTTTATTTTAAGAACAGAAACTTTAATAGTAGAACCTCACTCTATAGATGAGAGGCTCAGTTTCAGCCATTTATCCAATTTAAAAATATACAATTCATAAGTAGTGGCCATTAAATAGAAAACAGTGGTCCTTTCTGTCCACATACACTAAAGAAATCCAAGAGGCTGACTGAAACATGGGCTTCATGGATGGGGTCTCTCATTAAATGGATCAGTGGTTGTGAGACACAGATAAATTAATTTTTGTAAAAGTACTTCATTAAAAATTATAGGTCAGGTATGATTGCTCACACCTGTAATCTCAGCACTTTGGGAGGCCAAGGTAGGTCAATCACGAAGTCAAGAGATTGAGACCATCTTGGCCAACATGGTGAAACCCCCTATCTACTAACAATACAAAATTAGCTAGGCATGGTGGCACACGCCTACTACATGTAGTCCTAGCTACTTGGGAGGCTGAGGCAGGAGAATTGCTTGAACATGGGAGGTGGAGGTTGCAGTGAGCCAAGATTGTGCCACTGCACTCCAGCCTGGCAGCACAGCGAAAACTCCATTTGAGAAAAAAAAAAAACATAAAATGCTCTACAAGTGAATGGCACTGTAACTATTGTCATCATCTACTTCTAAAATATGATGAAAAGCTTTTCAGATTACATAGTAAAAGATGGCTAGTAGGGCTCAGCATCTGAAATTATAACTTTGTCCTGATACATATGAATGATGGCAAGGCCTGGGGATGTAGGCAAGAAGGAGGTTATAAAATTGGCATCATTTGAAAAGACGGTTTGCTGGTCTCATCTACGTAGAAATTTCCTGAGGTTAGGGGATGAGCTAAAGATGCCTACTAATTGTTCCCTTCTGAAGGTTTTGGATGTCACAATCCTTACATAGGTTGTTCCTTTTCAAGCACATACTCATTAGCTGTTCAGCGTTGGTGCTGATTTGTGCCATCAGAGCTTCTCTGTGCTGCTGGGCTCGCTCTTCTAGGGCCCTGCCCATAAAATAGTGTTGCAGTCGTTCTTGAGCTTGGGCATGGAGCTCCCTACTGACCACATCTGGCATTGGAGAGCCCTGAAAACACAGGAGAGAAAAACTTGTCACAGAGAGGACACAGGTTATCAAAGTACCCAACCACTTAGTAGAGATTTTAGAATGCTTAACTGTCTTTCATTTTATCAATTGAATTTCATGATCAATGTCTACCTTGTATTCCTATGCAAGTATTAAATAGTCTCTTAAAAGTTTTAGATAAAAAATAATGGTGGAGAAGTTTTTTTGTTTTGTTTTGTATATGCTCATACGTTACTTTGTCAGACACTGTGGAATTCTGGGAGAAGAGAGAAGATTGAGCGATTGCAGTGAAAAATTACAAATGCTTTGGTAAAGACTGGCCTGGAGCCAGGTGTGTTGGCTCATGCCTATAATCCCAGCACTTTGGGAGGCTGAGCCGGGTGGATTACCTGAGGTCAGGAGTTCAAGACCAGCCTGGCCAACATGGTGAAACCCTGTCTCTACAAAAATCAGCCAAGCATGATGGCAGGTGCCTATAGTCCCAGCTACATGGGAGACTAAGGCGGAAGAATTACCTGAACCTGGGAGATGGAGGTTACAGTGAGCCGATAATCTCGCCATTGTACTCCAGCATGGGTGACAGAGCAAGACTCTTTCTCAAAAAATAAAAAAAAAAAATAAAAGACACTTGGCTGGAACAAGTGTAACAAAGCCAATTCCTTTGTTTTAGACCCCTTCTGAGAGACTGTCTTACTTCTTATCCTGTTCTTACTCTCAAATTTATCGAAGTCGTATGTTATAACTGCTTCTGGATTCACAGAACAAGGGATAAAATCATTCAAAGGACCATATTCTTTTGGCTAGTCAGCTAATTTAAGAGAAATTTAACTGATTAGTTTGGGCAAGGATGAAATAACCTTAACTTTGGAGCTGATAAAGATTCTGACACCACAACTTTCTCAGATATTCCTGTTTGTGATCCTTGATACAACCCTGTTCCACTAAAACCTTACTTCTCAGCCACAGGATCTTAAACCGCTGCACTAGAGTATGGTTAAAGAAGCATTTCAGAAAAACAGGAGTATGCATCAGAACTACATATAGTGTATTAAAAAAAGATAGATCAAAGACCTAAACATAAGAGCTAAAACTGTAAACCTCCTAGAAGAAAACACAGGAAAAGCATCATGACATTGGTTTTGGTGATGATTTCTTCATATGACACCAAAGCACAGGAAACAAACAAAAACAGAAAAATGAACTTCCCCAAAATTAAAATCTTTTGTGTGCCAAAGACTACTATTAAGAAAGTAAACTGGCAGTCCACAGAATGGCATAAAATATTTGCAAATCATATATCTGATAAGGGATTAATCCCCATAATATATAAAGAACTCCTAAAACTCAACCAAAAACAACATAATTAAAAAATGAACAAAATATAACCCTGTGGAAAAAAAAAAAAGACTTAAACAGACATTTCTGCAAAAAAAATAAAGGCCGATAAACAAATGAAAAGAGGCTCACAATCACTAACCAGAGAAAATGCAAGTTTAAACCATAAGATACAACTTCATATCTATTAGCTACTATCAAAAACAACAACTACAATGAAAATAACTAGTGTTGATAAGGATGTGGACAAATTGGAACCCTGTGTGAGACTGCTGGAAATGCAAAATGGTATAGCTACTGTAGAATACAGTATGGCAGTTCCTCAAAATTTTAAAAAAATAATTAGCATATAATCTAGCATTTTCATTTCTGGACACATATCCAAAAAATCAAAAACAAGGATACAGATATTTGTACACACATGCTCATAGTAGCATTATTTACAATATCCAAAGGGTGGAAGGAACCCAAGTTTTCACTGACAGATTAATGAATAATCAAAATGTAGTATATATAATGGAATTATTATTCAGCCTTTAAAAAGTAGAAAATTCTGACAAATACTAAAATGTGAACCTTGAAGACATTATACCAAGTGAAACAACCAAGTATGATTCCTCTCATGAGGTACTTAGAGTAGGCAAATTCATAGAGATAGAAAGTAGAATTGTGGTTGCCAGGAGCTGGGTCGTGGCAGAATGGTGAAGTAGTGTTCAATGGATATAGGGTTTCAATTATGCAAGATGAAAAAAGTTCTGAAGATGGATGGCAGTGATGGTTGTACAAACAATATTAATGTACTCAATGCCACCAAACTGTACATTTAAACATAGTTAAAATGGTAATTTTCACATTTTATCTATTTTACGACACTGAAAATAAATAAATTTTTAAAATATAGATACATGAGACCACACAAAACTTACTGTATCAGAATTTCTTGGGATGTGGGGGCTTCGGTATTTGTTATAAAGGTGATGAAATTTGTAAATGGTTAAAATCGTTAAAAGCAATATAGTCCTTTCTACAGAGCTTAGGAACTGATTATCTATTTGTTGGAAAGGAGGCATGCTTCTGTCTTCATTCTATCTCTGCTCACAGGAAAAAAAGTTTTCAGTTGTGGTTCTGCCTCTCTTCAATTCAGTTCTGGTGCTTGACTAAGGCAGGAGTTGCTAATATGATTGATTGTCACTCAGAAGATTCATTTGACATGTTTTATTGGTGGCCAGGCTGATTATTTTTAAAAGCTCAGGACCCCTAAATGTTTTTTAAGCATTTAGGTTAAAACAATTTTTAAAAAAAATACAGCTTTATTGAGGTAAGAATAACGTACACTAAATAACAAATATTGAAAGGGTACAGTTTGCTAAGCTTTGACATACACATACATCTGTGAAACCATCATCACAATCAAGATAATGAACATTGATCACTACCAAATTTCCTTGTGCCCTTCTGTAAACCCTTATCCTCACCCTTCACATCCGCTTATCCCGAAGCAACTACTTATCTCTTTAATGCTACTATAGATTAGTTTATATTTTTAGAGTTTAGATAAAAGAGATTATAAAGAATATATTCTACTCTATCTGGCTTCTTTCATTTAGCATAATTATTTTGAGATTCATCCATGTGTGCTTTTTTTTTCAAAAAAAAATTAAACTCTAAGTAAGCAGAAGAAAGGAAATAAATATCAAAGGGAAATCAATAAACTAGGAAACAAAAGCAATAGAGAAAAATCAATGAAACTAAAAGCTGATTGAGACAGGGTTTTGAGACAGGGTCTCACTCTGTCACCCAGGCTAGAGTGCAGTGATGCCATCATTGCTCACTGCAGCCTCGAACTCCTGGGCTCAAGTGATCCACCTGCCTCAGCTTCTCAAAGTGCTGGAATTACATGCATGAGCCACCTTGCCTGGCCAGCGATTTATCCATGTTGTTCAGAGTATCAATTTATTCCTTTATACATGCTGAATAGTACTCCATGGTTCTAGTCTTTGGCTATGAGCATTCATGTACAAGTGTCTGTATGGACATGCATTATTTTTCTCTGGGGTAAATATCTAGGAGTGGAATGGCTGAATATGATAGATACATGTTTAATTTTGAAAGAAACTGTCAAACTGTCTTCCAAAGTACTTGTACTATTTTACATTCCAACAAGAGATGATTCTGCCACATGCTTGCTAACCTTTGGCATGTTCCATTTTAAAACTTCTAACAGATATGAAGTATCTTGCTGTGGGTTTTTTGAAAATTTATAAATTTTTATTAAGAAAATTGGGTCTCACTATCTTGCCCAGGCTGATCTCAAACTGCTAGGCTGCAGCAATCCTCCTGCTTTGGCCTCCCAAAGTGTTGGGATTACAGGTATGACCCACTGTGCTGGGCCCATATTGTGGTTTTAATATGCATTTTCCTTAGTGACTAATGATGCATTCCTCACTGACTAATGCATGTGTTTATTTGCTCTCTGTCTATCTTTGGGTGAAGTGTCTGTTCAAAGCTTTTGTCCATTAAAACAAAAACAACTAGCTCATATGTTTTCTTATTGTTGAATTTTGAGAGTTCTTTCTATATTATGGATATTGGAATTTTATCAGATATATGCTTGGCAACGATATTCTTCCATCTGTTCCTTGTTTCTTTAACTCTCTTAACAGTATCTTCTGAAGAGAAGTTTTAAATTTTGATAAAATCAATTATCAAATTTTCCTTTTTGAATCATGCTTCTGGTATTGTATTTAAGAAAAGGTCACAATATTTCTCCAGTGCTTCCTTCTAGCAGTTTTATAGTTTTAAGTTTTGCATTTAGGCCTATGATCCACTTTGAGTTAAATTTTGTATATGAAGTTATGTATGGCTTCAAGTTCAGTTTTTTTATGTATGGATAGCCAATTGCTCCAGTTTCTCTACTGCATTAACTATGCATCTTTATCAATAATTAGTTGTGTGTATATGTGCATTTATTTTTGGATTCAAGTCTGTTCCACCAATCTATTTTTGTATCTTTGTATCAGTATCAAAATGTTTTGATTTTATAGCTTTATTATAAATGCTATACCTTTATAATTGCAATCAGGCAATGTTAGCCCTCCAACTGTTCTTTTTTGCAGTTACTTAGCTATTCTATTCTAGGTCCTTTGCATTTCTATATGAATTTTAGAATCAGTGTATCAATTTCTACAAGAAAATCTGATGGGATTATGATTGTGTTGAATGACATTCTGTCTTGTTCCTAATCTCAGAGGAGAATCATTCAGTCTTTTATTATTGAACATGATGTCAGTTGTAGGTATTTCATAGATAACTTTCATCAGGGGGAGAAAGTTTCCTCCAAATTCCTAGTTTGTTAAGATTTGGTTCTTGGGGTGTGTGAGGTGTCAGTACTAGATGTATTTTGTCAAGTTCTTTTTCTGCATTTATTGATGTAATGAGCTTTCTTAGTGTGAGTCTGTTAATATGGTAAATTATAATAAGTGATTTTTGAAGATTAAACTAGCCCTGCATTCCTGAGATAATCTTTACTTGTTCATGATATATTAACCTTTCAATATGTTGTTAGATTCAATTTGCTTAGTTAACTATTTTGAGATTCATCCATGTTAGTGAATGTTTTAATGTTTAGAATTTTGAAATATATGGTCATTAGGAATATTGTTCTG